CCGGATTTCTTCGCGCAACTCTGCTGGATCGCGAGATTGAAGCATCTGTGAAGTATCACGGACGCGATCGACCCGATGAAAGACCTACTTCCTTCGCCTCGATTGCCCATTTGAAACGTTTACCCCGTGAAACCGCCGTTTTCTTACTGTTTCCTGATCCGGGGGGAAATTAAGTTCAATCCCCCCGCGAAAATTAATCGAAAATTAACCCTTTGGCTACGGCAGACTTTGAAACGCACCGGTCGTACCACACGGGTAGGAATTAATTTACAATGTCCGCCGAGAAAGGCAAAATTTTGGGTAGAAATGCGCCCTCCGTGTCACAGAAGCAAAATTTCTGAGCACGTATATGCATCCACAGTAGCCAAGGTGTTAATTCTACCCTATCCGCGAGAAATTAACCCTTTTGCGACGGCGCACCTGTATTATGCCACTTTTCGTGATGGCACGACTGAACACCATACTTTGCCACCATTTTAGTTGCCTAATGCCTGTACTAGCTTTATTTTGAGTTCGTTATTGAAATAAAATAATAATATAGTTATGATTTGGGGCTGTAACCAATAAATGACTGCTGCATATATACGGCGTCATCGGTGATGCACCAAGTGACTGTATATATATGACATCCTTTGCGAAAGGGTTAATCTCCATAGTGGCCCGGAACGTCCTGGCATTAGAAACTTGCTCGGAACGCCAGGAAAAGCGTTAAATGCAGAATTCACCCCCTCCGTACTCCGCCCCTGGAGCGTTAATCGGGCGAGTGCATCTGCAGGGCCCTGTATCCTCCGAGAGGCACGTCTGCGAACTTCGTTACACCGAGTAATTTCCTTATCTCGTCGCTTGCACTTTCAACGAGCGTAACGAATGGCAAACACCGGCTGGTCGGCCGGTTGGAAATTCGCAGCTTCGAAGAAATTACATTCCACTCGGGATAGAAGGGGGCGGCTGATGGGGTGGGTGTCACGAGAGCGAGGGTCCCGGCCGAGGATTCAGAAATTGCTCGATCAGTTTTCGCCCTCCTTTTCCGGTCCCAGGCACTCCATGTACCGACGAAACTTCTCGCTGGCCTGTTCGGGCCAATTAACGCCCCTGGCAAATTGTCCGAAATCGAATTTTCGTCCTCTCATTCGGTCCTCGCTCTGGAGGCCCCGAGAGGAACCAAGACCAAGACTCGACGCTTCCTGCGTTGATATGTTAATCCGGGGGTCGGTAGGAGTTTATCGCAGATATGCTTCTCGCGATTTCGTGCAACCGGATGAGAGAGTCCTGGATGATGGAGGTTTATTATATACCTAGATCGTGGATGGTGAGGTATAGTCGAGTCTGTCTTTGACCGCTTCTGGCGATTATGTGCCACCTTCTCGTTAGAGGCACTTAGGCACCTTGACGTGCAAGAGTTTATGGGACAGGGAAGCTTTTAACCCTTTATGGACTGAGTGGATTTGGGTAAACCTTTGATAGTGTTATTTTTCACTTTCACTTCCGAGTTATGAAGAAAGTACCAAACACCTTAGCCCGAATTAATGTAACGAATTGAACAAAATTTATTTCTTATCCTAAGAGATGGCAGGACATGTCAGAACAGTTGTTGGATTGCGTTCAGAAAAATTGTCTAAACTCTAACAGCTTTGAAGTCCATGGACGTCATACAACGTCTGCAGGAGTGAAAGGGTTAATAAAAGACACGATGCTTATAGTTGCGCTTTTATTGAGGGACGTCGTGTCGATTGCGGACAATAAATCCTTAATATCTAATAAATATAAAATCGAGATGAGGTAAATACGAATAGTTGAACTAGCATGATCGTTTGATTTGCAAAATCGAGATTGGGATCTAAGCCAGTTGGTACACGATAGGCTGTGCATTGTCAGGGTTTTCGAAGCAGATCCTGAACGAGGAAGATGGCGCCGTCGGGTTTCTCAGGACGTAATTACCTACGTAATTAGCGGGATCCAATCGGGGTTCGACGACGTATTGAGCGTTCTGAAGGTAACTCGTTCCTGGGACATTTGGCAGTTGATAGACCTGCACGACCTGCTGTGCACCACTGGGCTGAGCCGTTGCTAAATTATTCGATGACCCGTCGGTGTGGTCCGCGTTGTCCAGATTCGTGTTGGTGTTACTTTCTCTCGCAGGATACACGTCGTTCGACATTCTCCCGTGATGCAAATGGTGCACTACCTTTACTTTGTACTTACCTCCCCACTTCGTGCCCACCATCTCTTCATAGTCGCCTGTTCCGGCGGGTTTGGGTACCTGTGCACGGAGCAATCGCGTGTCCATTATTCACTGTCAGCTAACGTTGGAATCCATTTTTCCTCTAGGTTAACCGTTTGAGTGCCAAGCGGCGCGATCGCGCTTCTTCTATTTTGTGTCCAAAAGTGCCAGCGCTCTAAGCTGCGAAGCTGACAATCAGCGCGCTCGGTTGTTGAACGCGGAATATGAGAAGCGCTATCGCGCCGCTCGGCATTTTTGGACACGGAATATGACAAGCGCTATCGCGCCTCTTGGCAAATATCGATTGGGAAACAATAATGACCCGTGGCACTCAAACGGTTAAACCACTTCCACCCTGTTCATGTCGTATATTAGTCAGAGAGGATACTTACGTTCGAGGTTTGGGATTCACCGTGATCCTTCGAGTTTTCCAATGACGATTGAGTGGAGACAGAGATCAGTTTAGGATCCTGTTGCTCCTGCTGGTGCATCAGCATTGGGCGCTGAAGATCCTCTATTTGCACTTGTCGTCGAGTTTCTTGAGAATTGGGAGCTGCTTGCTGGCTAGCAGTCTTCGCATTGGGATCCAAGGTTGGGTTCATTTCCAGGGATCGGTATTGTTGGTACACGGGATGCATGTTGGATGGGTTCAGGTTTAACAGGGACACGCTTTGACGAGTGCTGACGCGTTTTTCTGTTGGAGCAGTTGCTTGTGAGAAGATATTAGCAATTTAGATAGGAAGAACGTGTACAAGATGATAGCTTACCATCTTGGTCTTGCAAATCAACGATCGGCAGGTTGTTACCTAGGGTCGACTTCTTGGCCACATCATCTTCATCGCGTTTAAACCTCTGTGCTGCAGTATCGAGTTCCTCGCTGTTAGATCTTCTATGTCGACTATGTACTACCTGGGAAAAGCGGTTCATCGATATCGGCGACAGAGTCTAATTTGCTCCGATCAAAATGATAATGAACTTGCGACACCCACCGTGGGAACGTAGGGATAATACTGAGGCGGGATTATCATAGGTATCCCTGCGAATCCGTAGCCACTCATTTCGGGATGGACTTGCCTCGTCATCAAAGGCATCGCAGGATCTTTATACATCTGTTGAGCATTCACTGCTTCCCCGTACACTGGATGAAGTTCCAAATGGTAACCTGGGTCCTTGTAATCCTGGTGTTGATGCTCTTGATCTTGCGATCCCGGAAGTGCCTCGGGAGGTTGCGTTGCTGGCTGTTGGTGCTTGGCTAAATGCGATGGAGACGCAGAATGCGGTTGCCCGTAGCCAGGTTGCACTATGATGTCGGCTGTCGCGTGTTCAGCTATGAGAATACCCGTTAAAAGCTGGAATAAAATATCGTTTAGCGTAAATATCGCAACTTGGTATAGTGAAGATCAGTGTTATCGTGATACCAGGTGTCGTTTATCGAAATCTTACCACCATGAATAGCGCCATTGTTGCTCCTCGTCGTTGATCGCTCACAAGTCTGATGGGAACTGAGTTGCGCGGACTGTGAGGGCACCTAAATTAATGCACAAACGTGCTGATGCCACACATTTCGTGCTTCACGCACTTTTGTCAAGCCAGCGTTACGAACTTGGGAAATTTAGCAAATTCGTAGAAGGCTTTTATAGGTCATAGGCTTTTGCGAAATTCTCGCCTTGAATCATACCTAACTCGACACTGCGTTACTATCTCTGATGAATAATACCGCTCGCGAGACATGGCTCTCTTGGCCAGGGATATCGGTGCTCGTTTCACCGTATATCGTCTGAGACGAGAAGGATTCATAATTCACGCCCCGTGATCAAGATGTGCCTCGAAGGGAACTTTCGGCGCCATATGGGGCAGTCGATAACGATTTTCCTTTTACCCATACCCTTCCCCAGCGCCGTTCGCGCTCCGATTCTTGAGAAGTTGGATGGAAAGAGATTTCCAGGGGAATATAAAGTAGCAGATTTTGCAGGGAGCCTCGAAATACCGAGTTTCTCCCTTCTCCTTTAACTTTCCGTATCTTTGAGCGATACTCCAAGCGAAATGAAACGTCATCGTCATATGGTGGCTCCGTATTAACGGACTGTAATGCAAATCCGTGTCGTCGTTGCCATCTATTAACAGTTTCCCGGCTTTCACCTTATACTTCATTCCAACAGCCACTCGCGCCATTTTGTTGCTTGACCCGCGGATCCATGTATCGGGGCACTGCGAGTAGGCGAGCGGAAGCGAATGATCTATTAGGCATTCACGTTAGCGAAGAGTAGTTTAGTAGGAGAATAGGCAGATCAACGTCCGAATCTATCCACCCAGTTTACGCGACAATCAGGGCGTATCAGCAGGGCCGGTGGCCTGGAAGTGCAACGAACTTGTAAAAGCAAGGATTTCGCACATTCCTTACGAGCACAGCATTATTCAGTTTCGCAATACCACGTATCGTTCGAACAGCAATTCCGGTGAATCAGATCGTGATGCGTTGAACCTTGGTATTATCGGCCATAGCTGAATTACGACCGGGCAGGATAATTTCGATATCGACCTACCTTCGTTCTCGGTTCTCCTCCCCTCTCTGCCTCTATGTAGGTCCCGCTTTAGTAGCAAATTTCTACGCGGTTCTCTAAAAGTGTGCAAGTCTAACCGATAAGCCGATGGAAATCGCGTAGTATAGTATCGTAGTTGATCCATTCGGCCGGTTGTCGGATGAAATTTCTTATAACTCGTCACGTTCGATAGAGAAGTGTTGTCGAGGCTGTAATTCTTTGCTCTGGAAACTGTTCAGGTTGCGTATTCGGTACGTGATGCCGGCGGCGCACCTGACGCTGCGCGAGGAGGATGTGGTACGACTAACCTTGGAGTTCCTCCACAGCCGCGACCTTCACATCACGCAGCTCTCGTTGGAACGGGAGACAGGCGTAATAAACGGTCAGTACAGCGACGATGTCCTGTTCCTTCGTCAGCTGATCCTCGACGGACAATGGGACGACGTGCTGGAGTTCATTCAGCCGTTGGAGGCGCTGCCGGATTTCGATATGAGAAAGTTCACCTACTCGATCCTCAGGCACAAGTACGTGGAGCTGCTGTGCATCAAGTCAGAGGCGAACTTGATCGCCGCCGGGACGAACGGAAGCGTCGACAACGCGGTCGAGGAGGTGGTGAAGGTTCTGAGCGACCTTGAGAAGGTCGCGCCATCCAAAGAGGAGTACAGCAGCTTGTGCCTGTTGCTGACGCTTCCGCGACTCACGGACCACCTGCAGTATAAGGACTGGAATCCTAGCAATGCCAGAGTTCAGTGCTTCCGCGAGGTACATCCGTTGGTGGAGAAGTTTCTGCCTGGTGACAGAAAGAGCACCGACCCTGCTCATCCGGTCACCTCGGCGAAGAACGATCGGCTCATACAGCTGATAATCAAGGGCATTTTGTACGAGTCTTGCGTCAATTACTGCCAGGCCAAAGCCACCGGCTCGGAGGAGAGCGAGCAGGTATTATAGTCTTTGTTTTCCTACGATTTTCAACTTGATAGTATGAATGAATAGTATCGAAATCCTCGCTACGAGATTTTGAATATCTGAATTATCTATTCCACTTTCGATATCGTAATGGCGATTATTGTATGAACTTTTATTACAGGTGGAAATGAATTTTTCCAGACTGTTAGACGGCTCCGTCGGTTTCAGTGATTCCGACTTGAGCCTGCTCTCTTGGCTGCAAAGCATACCGCCGCAAACGTTCGCCGTACCTTTCGCGCAACGAACGCTGAACGTGGACGTGGAGCGACTCGAGAGACCGTCGTTGGAGACCTCCTGGACGGAACACATGTTGATCACCCCCATAAAGCCGAAGACCTTCCCGCATAGCGCGATGCCGTTCACCAGGCCGCGATCCGCCGCTGACATGATGTCTCGCAGTTTAGTGCCGGCTTTAGAAGCTGGACTCGGACCAAGGAGTCCTGGACCTAAAAATATACCGATACCATCTGCGGCGCAAATGGCTCTGTCCACCGGTGATATAAACCTGATGTCAAGATCGTCTTTCGCGAGCTTTCATCTAACCGGTTTTAAGAATAACAAATTAATGAACACTAGCGTGGACAGACTCTTTGAGAACGAGGGTGACGTCTTTCTTAGCTCGAGCTACGCCGAGTTCCAACAGCTGCCTTCCATACAAGAAACAACGCCCAATACCCAGCCGAAAGCACCACCGAGAACGAGAGCACAGTCGAAAAGTCCCGAGGGTAGGTACCTTTGCTTGCGTCTTCATTTTAACGTCTCCTTTCACCGTTTTCATACGTCTCGTTGCAGGTATGAAAGCAGACCCTTCTGCAGCCTCCACGCCAGAGCGTAGAGTCGCTGGCAGAGAATCACCTGCCCCGTCGACAGCCAGAAGTTCCAGAAGAGACTCCTTGGCGGAAAAGCCAACAGGAGTCGCGGCGAAGATCACGGAACCCACCCCGATTCCTGTTCGAGCTTCTCTAGGCGGAGAACATCTCGAGCAGAGTTACAACGGTGACCTGTTCAAAGAATACCAAAAGCAAAAGCAAAGGCTGCAGGAGAAGTTTCAGCAGAGAGAAAGGGAATGGGACGATTTGGTCAGGCAATTGTCTGCTCCGTTACCTCCTCAGGTGGTCGATAACAGACTTCAGGGAGACGGGTAAGCGAATGTTTCATTATTCCTAGCCGTTAGAATGGAACACTGATAAATCGTCGGCACTGTAACACGATGCTTTTTTCGCGAAGAACCAAATCGGTAAATGATCGAGGAACACCGAGACAAAAGCGTATTGTTCGCCTGCGTTTCGGTGTGGTGCTATTCAGTGGGCGGAATGCCTTTGTCGCGCTTATTATGGTACTGAAGCGCGGGCCGAGAATAACTCGTTCGGTCTAGACACCAACGTGTGGCGCCGATCGAAATAACAATTCTCCACTGGAAACGTTCAAAAGAAAGCTGGATATTTTGACGGCTCGACAATGACCTCTGCTTTTTCTTTTTTTTTTATGCCGACGATTATCAGCACGGTGCAATCACGGAAAAGTGGTACGATCCTCCGAATTAATGTTGGCTCGTTTCCCAACGAGTCACTCGCGCCGCGTAATCCAGACAAATACTGTTGTTTTCCGTGTGGTGGCTCGCAGCTCTGCGGAGCACAGTCAATCAAACCGAGTGGTTCGCTACATTCTCTAACAGATGGCAGCAAAGGAATGCCTTTGTCGCGCTTATTATGGTACTGAAGCGCGGGCCGAGAATAACTCGTTCGGTCTAGACACCAACGTGTGGCGCCGATCGAAATAGCAATTCTCCACAGGAAACGTTCAAAAGAAAGCTGGATATTTTGACGGCTCGACAATGACCTCTGCTTTTTCTTTTTTTTTCGTCAACCAAACCGCGTTTCTTTGTCCGAGTTAACAGGCCTGTGTCAGTATAACATACATCCTTTAGAAACCGCGCATTGTTCCAATTGTTCCTGGAAATATTTAATTCCACAATTTTTCGTTTTCTCTTTTTATACATCGAAAATTATTTTCAGTCTACCTAAACGAAACTCGGCAGAGGCGATTCTACCGAGAGTTACCGACTGTAGCAATTCCGTTTTCCCACGACCGTGCACACCGACAGTTCCACCGTGGACAAATCAGTAGCGGCGGGAAGTCATCCCTCGTGAGTGTCACGCACATTCCTTTTCGTGGACGAATAAACGGTCCTGGTATCCTCGTAAATGTCGCGTAACGAGCTAAAATTACCACCGCCGCGAAATGTCAAGTGCAATGTATCTTTTCTGCAACGGCATATCGGTCTCATCCGGTGATAACGTTTCCTCCATTTTCCATTTCGATTAGAACTGCGCATTTACCGAATTATACTCGTGGAAACGCCATTGCGTAACTCGTTGTACGTTCTGCGCATTTTCTGATCGCCTATCCGAAAGCGAAAGAAACGGGATAGAAGTAGCTGCCTGTTTTACCGACCGATCTTGTATGCACATCTCGAGCCTGGGTAGGGGCAATTTCTTATCTTTTATCTCGCGTTCTACGATAGTTTACTTGGCTTGGTAACCCAAATAACTTTTGGATGACGTGAGATAGAGTCGGTTCGCGGTATCGGTGCGTCAAAGAAACGAAAGTGGAAACGAAACACGGTTCATTGGCACCGACTGCTGACATTGTTCCGACTCCGGATGCCGGATGTATGAGAATAGTACGTGCACGTTGTCCCGGGGAAATCGTGACCATACAGTGTCGTCATTGGTTGGTCCCCATCGACGGTTCTCGCTTCATGCTTTCGTGCTGCATATTTATGGTCTCATTGTCTCATTCATGTATACCGGTTCCTCATAAAACGCAGATGAATGTGCAAATTTCTGGTATGCGGCGTGCCGTCTAGACGTACTTTATTTTTTCTCTCTCGGATAATTTAAATATCCATCCCGGGCGGAGTTGGAGTTTGGTTCGCAAACATTCGCGAATTCCGCGGATATCTCGGAATAGACAATTACGTTTCTTCGTTTTAATCGTAATCCGATGACACGGTGCTCGAAAGCACGCGACAAAGTGGAATTTGAGGTGCACGAGCGCGGAATTTGCCCGAGGAAAATTAATCGCGTTTGCAGATGAAGCGAAATACCAGACACCGGTGGTGGTGCCTGCGAGGCGTCCTCTGTGCGCGAAATGCTAATTACCGTGAACCACTGGCGAACAAACTTTAACCGATTCCATCAGCGACAATGTAGTGGTCGTAACGTGACAAACTTGCGGTAGTCAGCTTCAACTTCTTATACGCGCGCAAATGGCGTCGGATTACAGAGTACTGCGCAGCCATTCGAGCTGTAAACGGTCATCTACATCTGCATATGCAACCTCGCGTTATTATTTAAATAAAAATCACCGGGGAGAAATTAACGCTTATTTTATATGCCGTTCAGTTCCCGCCATAGTTGACCGTCATGTGGGCCCTACCGGGTCGCACGGACCCTGAACTGAAAGTCTAACCCTGGTCCCTAGGGGTGTTAGGTATACTCGTGGCGTTTAACACTAGAACTACCGATCTTTAATGGGTACCTAGCTATAAACGTGCACAGATTATAGTAATTTCAGCGATACGATAAAAAGGAAAATTCTGGGTCCAGTCATTTTCACTGGGTTAGTAGTTCTAGTGTTAACGCGTTAAAAGGAATTTCGAAGAATCTCGTTCTCCGAATCTTCGTACCCCGTTTCTTTGTTTGCTCCTGTTTGTTAAACAATGGCGGAGATAATTGCGAAATTCGATGTCGCATCGCTGGCTCGAAGCTTCACTTATCTGCGATAGCGCGCAGTTCTCGATTAGATGAGACACACGATCGTGGGACCATATTCTTGGGAGGTCTTACCTCGTCTCCTTGAGAGTCGTCCGAGTGACTCAACCATTAAGAGGATCGATTGACGTATTTACAAGTGGATTAATTCAGACGGAATGCCAGTGGAGAACAACGGAGCGTGGTCTTGCAATTAAGGGAATTAGAGGAAACGCCATCATCCCGGCCCGAATAATCAGCGAATCATAATAAACATGGCGGTGCGAGGGAGAAGAGGGAAACGTAGGGAATCTATTTGCGTGGAATTGAAGCGAGCTGGTAGTTTTTAATGGTACTCTGTCCCGATAGCGTACATTCGTAGACGTACTAACGAGACTGGTTAGCAATCACGTTGACACGTCTGCGGCGTAAGTCGAGGAATTAGTACGGGCCAAAGGAGCTTCGAGTGTCTGGCACTTCGTTAGCCGCAAAATATGAGCGTATTTAAGTAGCGAAATTTACGCTTCCCGCTGAAATAAGGGACGTATATACGAGAGTCCTTGATCCTTCTGCCGGTTCAACAAACGGGGCCGTTCTTAATGATTCACTGCGCCTGATTCCTTCCACTGAATCCTTTCAAACGGCCAGAAGAAAGCTTACACGCGTTCCACGAAACAACGTTATTACCCAGCGTGCTATTACCTCATGGAGAACATGCTCGGCTCCTTGCGGTAACACACTTACGAGTATTATCTTTCACTCGTGACAGACACGAATCGTGTGCATAATACAGTTTATTAACTCCTCCCGAATGTACAAATTACGCGAGACAAGTTGGAATGGCTGTCTTAAATAACCCCGGCAGCCGAATGAATCGCGCGGCCATAGAGTTAAACATGTCGGCAGACGGATTTAGCGTGGAAAGATGAAATTCGCGAATGTCTAGCACGCGCGTTCTCGATTCGTTCGGGCTGTCGAGCGGTCGGCACACGATTGTCACGGATCTTGCTTTCTCCGTTGAAGATCGACGACGGTTGCCAGTCATTCGTGGGTTTTCTTGGCTCTGGACACCGCAGTTTTCTCGACTCTCTAGACGGACGCCGGGCGGCCGAACGTGCAGCGTCCACCTAGTTGCGCGTGTCGCCGCTAGAGGCGTCGCGTAATTGGTACACGCGCCCGGCCGAGGTTGGTCACAGACGTCGCTTTGTTCGCGGCTGGATTATGGCGCGGGGTATCGCGAAACCGCCGTCCATCTCGAATCGAATCGCCTCGTTAGCATCGAAGAATAGCAGGTGTTGTAAACGCTCTCCGTGGAAAAGTACATCGGGAGTAGGTTAGTTCGCTTTGGTTCAAGGTGAACCGATCGCAGGTGCCGTGACGGCACGAGGGTGTCCCATTCTTTCGCAATAGTTTCTTTTCGATCACGCTCCGTTGCGAGAATGGAAATTGCAGGGTTGCATTTAATAACGCGAAAGTTTCAAAGGGAATTGTTTTATCTGCTCTTTCGACGTAATGATATTGAAAACGAAATAAGCCGAGGTGAAGCGGTCGTCCTTGAGGGGAACTCGACAGAGGCAAGGAGAATTTGTACGTGATCGCGTTGACGTTTGAAAATTTATAGGAATTCGCACGTTGGTGTATATGACGGAAAGTGTGGCACTGCTCGTTGCGACATGCACACCGCGCGCTGCAGGGTACTTCGCCGTGTGCGTAGATTAGAAACGCGGTTCTCGTCGCGATTCTTTCAAGAAGGATCAGTTACCATTCTCCCTGTCACTTTCCATTTCGAATTTCTCGAATTTGGCGACCAGTTTGCACCGCGACAAGCCGTGCTTCCAGTGAAACCGTTTGCGCTCGCGTGACATGCCTAAAGACTTTACAGACGTATAAAACAGGTCTCTAGGAGCAAAATTGCAACGTATACGTCATTTATCGCAGCAAGAATCTTATCGTTTCTGCGAAAAGCCTGGTATACACGAAGTCTACCAACTCTATGAAACACCAACCGATAAAGATAACTTTAATTTCCAATTAACGCTCTACGTGTTTCCTATCAGGTACTCACGGATGCCCTGTTCCGTCAATAGACCAACTTTCCCATTCGGAATCTCGATTCATTCGTCAAAGAATGCTCGATTCGCAGGATCTACCACGCAGTCCTTGAAATCTTTCTAGTACAGGTGTCCAATAACCCCAGGCGAGATTTGCCTCGTGAGAAAGACCCGATAACACGGGAATATAAACACACCTCGACACCGGCTCGCTGAGCATCGGCACATAAACAAACGGCGAAACGTTTCCTGGAATGCCGCGCCATCGTGTTTTCGTGGCCGTGGTGTTGCTGGCACAGCTGATCACAGACCGCGTGTACGAACGGTCGGGCAGGGCCACGGGAATCAAAGCAGCCTCTGATAGGTCGCGATACGCTTTGTTATTACGAGCGGAGTCAGTCGACGGGCAGTCGAGTCTAATGCCGCTGGCGGGCGAAATCGTAGCCACTGCTTGGCTCCCTCGATACTCCACGTCGGGCTTCCTCCGCAGCAGCATCGTTCCCCGTTTGTGCGGTTGTCACGCAGTGTACGGACATACGGACAGGATAGTTGGTCGCAGAGCCGGCGTTCCGTTCGCTCCTTAATCACGCTCCCTAAATAAGACGCGAGCGGATTCGAATTCCGCGACTTCCAACGCGGTCAAATCGCAGCCAGCCAAGTTCGCGCAGGTGTGTGGTGGTGACTCTCGCGATCAGACGACACGGAGGGTTCGCTCGCGACGACGGTGCACCCTCTCATGGTGCAATCGGTCCGTGCTACGAGATTGTGAGTCCTCGAAGTTCGACGAAGTTCGGGTAGACGAAGATGATCTATCACAAGCCTACGATACCGCGGTTCCGGATAGCCGAGCGTATCAGCGTGGCTCCCAGCAATCGGCCGATTTACACGAAACAGAGCAGCCACAGTAGCACGTGCAGCCTGAAGAGCGCCAGTTCCACGCCGCCTTGTGTCAATCGGTACATAAGAAATTGTTATTTCGCGTTCAGTGATTTCTGATTTTTCACGCTGGTCATTGCGTCCAATCGTAGAGGAACGGTGACTTTTTTCCCAGCGTCCATGGCCGGCTAGCTTCGTCGTAGATCGTCCCACTGGCTCGGTCTCGTTCATTTAGAATGCGACGCTGAATTATGAACAGTTTCCGCTTCCAGTTCCCGTCAGCCAGGCCACATAGCACGCGCGTTCATTCGCCCAGTGATCACTGTGCACGAAAACGAAACGATCAGACGTGCTACTAGATAGCTGTTAGAATATTCCCAGCTGTCGAAAGATCGCGCTCGAGCCTACTCGCGTTGCTTCGATGGCTATGATTCAGACTGAATCGTTGGCCTGAAAAAGTGTTTGCAAATCCTGCGTAACAGGCGAATTCTTATCGAGCACGCGAAGCGTGTACTACCCTGTAAACACGCGCATTCATATCCCGAGGAGAGAGAGATTTTTCGATGGAATCCTATGGCCAGGTTCGAGTAGGATTTCTCGTCGCATTGGGAACAAAGTCTGCATTCGTTCTCTCCCATAAACGATGCGCAGTTCCTTATTTCCATAAATCACGTCCCGCTTGAGTAATGATCGCTGCCTCGGATAACCTCTCTAACCCCCGTCGCCTCTGTTGATGATACTCGAAAGGAAATCTTGATTACCGGTGACCCTCTAAACGTTTGCCAACACGGGGACAACGGTATGCTTCAATGCCAAATAGCCACTTCGAACCCAGTGGAAATCTTACTGCTACGTGTAATTTATCAATCCCTCGGCTACCCGCGATTTTTCCCTCGCTAGCAATCGCGCGTAATACGCGGCCATTTGGCGGGAAATCACGGTGATAATCGGAACTAATCGCTCGTATCCTTTTCGGATTACAGCATAAAGCAACCTTTGGGGAGCAAAGGACCTTCACCTGTTCACACGAGCATGCCTGCCCGATCTGGTATCCAGTCACCGAAGCCTACGATCAATGGATCTGAGCCTGTGGTGTAAGTATTCCGTGTGTATAATCGAGACACTGTTCTTCGTGTATACTCGCGTGTTTACATACGTTCGTCAGAATAGAATTCGAATCGCCCTGACAGGTTACCGATAGAGATTGAGACTTTTCGTGAAAGAGTTATCGATTCCGAAGTCGATGCCGCGATTTCAATTATCCTTTTATGTCAGATCTGTAAGGGTATAATTTGTCGATATTGCAGGAGACAGAACTCGGTGGTGGGCAACACTTACGACGCTAGAGTACAGGAGAGTCATTACGACGTCGTCAAGCCGATAAAGGTAAGTCAGTAAAGTCATTTGTGATTACATCATTGGAGATACGAGATCCAGAGAGAGTGAATCAGCGAATCCTTGGAGCTCGTTGATCCTTTTAACGATTCCCAGAATGGTACAATTAATTTACGACTATGTACGGTGATTAGGGGTTAGTCTATCGAAGCTTCGAAGCTCGTTGAATTGCAGGAAATCGAAATATCGCGAATTTTTCTTCATTCGAAATTTTTGAAACTCGGCTAAGCAAAGGTAGAATAGAAAATTCTTGTGTATTTCGAGGAGACTTTGAATGTTAGTATTTAACCCTTTGCACTCGAGAGGCGACCCTTAATTAACATATCAAATTTAAAATTGCCCAATAATACGTGGAATATCGAAATAAAATAATTCCACGTCTCAATTTATATCCCATTTCTTATTTACCGTTTTAAAAATATCGTCGACTTTATGGCAGAAAGTCTTCGAACTATTATTTTTCTGTAACGAAGTGCAAAGGGTTATAAAAGGAATATATTTTTGTTAGTATTTTATTTATTTGTTCTCTCAGAAATTTTGTTCGTAATATAAAATATTCTCTATAGAAAGGAGAAATTTTTTAAAAAATTCCAAAGTCGGGTTCGAACCTCCCCCCTGTTGTTAGTCACGCTTTACTCTCGGTACCTCGCACGGCTATCAGCTCGAATTGCAAACACGTTGTCGATAAGAAGTCCGGCTTATGGTGCGTACGAAAACGCGCAATTAACGCGTAATTAACGAGTGTGTCGCGCAGTTTTACGCGGATTCGCAATCTCGACGGTTCGAAACGAAAAACGGAAAGCCGATTTCGTAAAATAGAAAACATATTTACAGCGTTGCAACAGGTGCTCCCTCGTATGTTTGTTGCAGCACGAAATTACGATCTGATAATCGGAAAAAGAGCCGAATTACCTCGCAGCTTTCTATCTCTCTTTCCTTATTCCCGTATCGCTATGACCCGTTTATGGTCGCGCTCATAATTCACCGTAGAAACTGGCTTAACGGCAATTTCCACGAACGGTCGCAATCGTTGCATGCAAATCGTACCCACATAGCCGATCTTATCCCCTAATTAAGAACGCGTAATTTCGAATTATCTTCCAAAAGTTTAATTAAACGGCTCGTAAAAACAGCCGGTTCCGCCGTGTCGTTTATGCTTTTAATTAATCCAATACCGATCCAACACGTTTGTACCGAGCGCGACCGGTCAGCGATTGCCAGGTGAAAGTGTTCCGGTTAAAGTTCGGGGAACGACGCTGTCAGTCATTCGGAGAAACCTCGTGGCCGATGTGGCAGTCCGAAGACCGTCTTTAATTCCCCTAATCATCGATCGGTTAATCGAGGAATTGCCAATTGGACGCTTTAATCGACGCAATTAGCCGTTCGATCGCATAACTCGTCCCCCCACCATCGCTCAATGGTCAACCATGTCGAATCCTTTTCCGGTAAGTTCGCCAGTGACGTAACCGATTCCAACCGATCGCGCGTGTGGGATCACCTCCGCGGATGTATCTGTACCGTGTTTCCGTTGTGGAAGATCCCCGCGGATAACGCCGTGTTGACGTAATATTTCGATTTCGCGTCGGAACGTCCTTGCTCGATAGTCATAAAAGAAGAAAAATAAAAATCAAGCGAGAGAGAGAGAGATGTACGAAATTCGCGACAGCTATTACCATGATCACGAACGGTGTCGAGTGTTTGTTAAGCGGTGAAATTCCACGGGATCGTCGTAATAATTATTCGGTGCTTGAATCTGTTCACGAGGCACGTTACGTCACCGTTTATTCAACAACGAGATGGCGCATCCGCGGTGAATTAATAGGAAAATTTTTATCGCCGTTCGAGCGAGGTAGTTTCGGTTGCTGGATCGATCCTTACGCAACCCGTGGTTAGATAAATCGCGGTGGAAAAAGAGGAAGAGGAAAGATTCGCTGTTTTATTCGCGACAGAGGCTGGCTATATGGATCGTTACGCTGGCACGTCGGATTAGTCATTTAGCGGCTCGGAATCGCGCTGTCAATAAGATTCGATTATGCAACGCGAGCATTTCGCGGAACTGCGCTACGCGAGGCCAGGTGCTCGGCCAGGTGTCGATTCGGAGGCATAGATGCGACTCGCTTTCGAGTTTGCGGCCCCGAACGTGATCGCCTCGATCGCCAGCACAGCTGCTGGCAGCGTTGTGTCTCCCTTTGGACGTGCCAATGGGTCACGGCCTGTTTTGTCTGTTTCCAGTATCGCGGACGAACCGGTTCATCGATCCATATTGGATTTACTTTTCAGTACAGCGAGCTCTTACGACATCGCTGGACGTGCGTGTCGCGCATGCCTCCAGCGAGATAGATCGCGTCGCGTGGGATCGATATGCGCGTTGATACGCCGCTGTTCAACTATTTTATTTTCATTTATTCCTTCGGCAAGCGAGATTGATCGGATAGATATTTCCTCGTGCACGTCCAGGCTCCAGGCGAATTTTCGCGGGTCGTATATCGTTTCCAACCGCGAGATTCTTGACACACACACACACACACACACGGACAAACAGACAAGGTCCATGCGCCTACACTCGAAATTCTAATGCTCATTCCACGGCGTCGCTGGATTATGTTACGCGATGACGCAGCTCGAAGATGCAAATCGTCGCGCACTGATGCGTCTTTGCCGCGCACAATTAGAAGACGCGTCGTAACGCGGACCAAAATGGCCGTCCCGTGTAGGTGTGCGCGGTTTTCCGAGATTTTTTCCCAGTTGCAAACTTGGCGATGATTACACCGCGAATTTTCATTTCGATACTCGCGGTTGACGCTTGTCGTAAGCTAAACGCTGTCAAGCAAAGTCGGATGTGACATGGTTTAGGGTTACTAGTGCGAAACGTTTATGCAGTGGTTGTGGGTCGTTTGAGTAGTTAACGGTGATGAACCGAATTCGTTTGGAAATTCTCGACTCTTTGGATAGACATTTGATCTTTCAGGGTCTTAATAAGGCTTTTTAGGGGTCTCCATGACATCGTTGGTGTGTCGCGACAATTGTCAGAGTTCCACCGGGAACTGGACACCTGCCAACGTGTCACTTTTCCGAAAGGGTACACCTTTTCCTACTCGAGTTAAAAGCGTGATACACCTTCGACCGTCAAGGTGAACTGCAATCGGCTGCCATGTGGGTGTGGAAGAGACGCCTAGTAACTTAATAATGGCACGTGCTCGTTAGTATTCGCCGTTATCGTGCCACTATGTTTTCCATCGGTTTAATTTAGCAATTTAACGTTGACAGAGTTTTGCCTTTCGCGTCTCTGTAAATTTCCTCAAATTTTCTTCCTTCAAGAATGACATCCGCGTTGGTACATACCCAGAGTCCGTCAATTAGATCAGTATCACGAATTTCCCTCGTGGTTATTTTTATAATAGAAAATCTTTCGTGTTAATTCCGTACCAGTAATTAAAATTCCAGGATGTGGAAGGTGAAATCAATTTTTATTGATTCAAGCGCGTATATCATTTGCACTGAATGTCGAGTGTGCGTGGAGTGTGCAGAACGCGGAATAGAATTGCAGCTCCATCTCGTTGCACGCGTGAAAGCCTGTTTCTGCGAATACCAGTACCCTGTTAGCGCTTTTCGTTGGTGATGCAGGGATTAATTAGGGATATCAGTGTGTGAAATCAAGAATTGGATTGCCGACATAGCGTGAACTCTCCTTTGCATTCACCAAAATCTTTCTCTCCGATACTTTACACCAGTCTGCATTCCATATTTTCGAATGCAAATCAGCCTCGAATGACCAGATTACGTTCTCACATTTTCGTAACCTCGCTATAACGTATATCTATCGAATTTTACACAGAATACGTACATTTAAAAAATTTTTAATCGATTTTATTTCCGTTCGATGTCAATATCAATCCGAAGCAAAAGCATCGTGTAATATCGCGAGATAGACGTACAGTGTGTTAAAACGAATATAGTATAGGTATCGTAAACGTGATCGGATTATCTCCTAACTTCATATACTCGATCCTGACATTTATCCCTTATCCCGTCTCTGATACCACTTCGCTTCGACCCAACATGCATACCCGAACCTAATCGGCCGAGCAGCTCCGCGAGGGATCGTGTGCTTTGGGACTCATTCATACACTGCTCCAGATTTAAAGCATTTTCTTAAAACAGCAAAGTATGGCTATATCCGATCGTGACTCATCGACATTTCCGTTCCTAGTAATGGCCAATAAACATCTTTTTTCCCCTCCCGTTTGTCTGCTAAAGGCAGGGTCTTCCTCGGCCGGAATACCAACCGCGGGACGCAAGAACGGAACATACAAGTGAGCTCATCGTACCAAGAATACAGGGGTCGATTGTTAACACTCGTAAATTCGAGTTTGAAGTTTCGAACGTCTCGGTACCACGCCGATACAATTGGAGAACGTTCTACGAACTTGGCTCTATAATCGGCCGTGTTTTGGCCGAAGTCCAAGAAGCCGTGAAATGCAGCGAGATCGATAACGCGATCGGTATCGAGGAGCTCTTGATACGAAGGCTTCGTGTTTATTATTAGAATTAAAAACGAGGCATCGAAGATAACCGGATATCGTCGCGGATATCGTCGTCACGCACTCGGCCTGGCAAGAAAAATAAGATCGCGAAGATAGTTCCTTCATGTTTTGCTATAGCTAGAAAGCAGGCAGACGAATCTCGAATTTCGAGGAATAATAGTAGGACGTGGGGCAAGAAGCAGACGAATAACTGTTCACGAGAGCAATTAATCAGACCTCGAAGCAATTAAATTACAACGATCGATGTTCGGACGATGAAACGCGCGTGGAACCACGGTGGGAACGGGGCAGCCAGTGTCGATGACAGTGTTACGCGCAGACGGCGCAGATAGGCCATAAAGAGAAGAAAGTAATGCTCACGATGGCGAAGTTAGCACTCGACCCGATTACGAGGACCGCCAGGGTCGTGTGCCGATGTTCTCCCGCAGTTTTGCGCGACAAACCCAT